GTGTCAGGAATATCAGTTATGTCTCCTGCTCTTGAAAACAATGGACTTAGGAAGAAGAGATCCTGTAATGCTCTGCAGTGCAGTGTCTCTTGTGCACCAGAAATTGGTGCCTCAGGGGTATCTCATATGTGTGTTGCATGCTCCCTATTTCTGTGGTAGAGCCATGTTTGCCTTCAGTCCAACTGTCTGCAATGGCCCTCTCTGAATATCTCAGGACTTCATCTCTGTGCCGTTAGCTATGTTTGGGGTCACGTTGGGCTTGAGCTAAGTCAGGCTAGGCATTTGCTGGAGCTGTGGTAGCACTGAACTGTAAAGTGCTCTCACTGTGTTGTCCTCTGAGAAGCTTTCATTGGTGAGTGGGGCCTGCAGTCAGACCAGATGTCTGCCCCCAGCCCACTGCAGGGGTCTGAATCAAACAAATGTGTATGGTTATCTTCCCCTCTCTCTGGGACAGGCGTCACTTTGGAATGGTGCTGGCCTCGATCAGGGATGATTGCACAGTGTGAGGCTAGTGGCACTGCATTGGAGGGACTCCTGCTAAGGGTGGGTCTACAAGAGAATGTGGGTGGGTAAACATTGTTATAAAATTGTGTGCTGGTCTGCTGCAAGAGGGGACCTGTGGCCTGGAGAACTGCCAAGGGCAGGTCTGTAAAAGAATACAGGGGTGGGGCATGAGGTGCCAGCAAGGTCATGGCTGCTCTGCTGTGGGAGGGGACCTGGAGCCACTTTAGAAAACTGCCTCACCAGAATGGAGGGGGGAGGTTTGAGGAACAGCGTAAGGGCAGGGTGTGCTGTTAGTAAGCTAGGCAGGAGTCTCCAGGTTGCACTGGTTCCTGAAGGTGTCTATGTATTTAGTCTGGGGATCTTGGGAAGAGAAATGGTGTGTGCCAACTCTTTTGTTCCTGGAGAATTCACCCAAAGATCCCTGCCCCTACAGTACATGCTCTGAGATTGGTAAATAAAATCTCCTTCCTGTGTACACCAGGCATTTTTCAAACTGCTGCTTCCATACTGTATATTGGTGGGGCTCTTCATTGTGATTTATCTTTAAGGGTGGGAACTATGTTTTCTGTTGCTCTCCACCCATTGCAAAGTCCAATCCACTATTCTAGGTGTTAAGCCCCATTTAACTGTAAGAACTCGAAGTTAGGCCCATCTGGTTTTCAAAGCCAATGTTGTGGGGATTCATCTTCCCAATGCGGCTCCCCCCTTGCCTGGGATGGCTGATGAGGGGTCTTTTCTTTTCCCTCTCTGTGCCTGTGGTGTCCCTCTCTCCTACGGATCAGTTTGGCTCCTGGCCATGTCTCTGCACCTCCTATCCTTTTCAATGTGGCCTCTTCTCAACATTTAGCTATGGAGAGTCCGTTCTGCCAGTTTTCAGGTTGCTTACTAGGTTATTTGCCCTGATGTGGGTGTTTTCTGTGTATATCTCTGGGACAAAGTGTGCTTTGTGCTCCACAAAGTGTGGAGGAATAGGATTCTCCTATTCCTCCATCTCTCATTGTGGTTTTGATTTGCATTCCCTGATCATTAGTGATGTTGAGGATTTTTTCATATGTGTGTTGGCCATCTGTATGTCGTCTTTGGAAAAATGTCTTTTTGTGTCCTCTGTGCATTTTTAAACTGGATTGTTTGGGCTTTTGGTGTTGAGTTGTATAAGTTCTTTATATATATTTTTGATATTAAGCTCTTATCAAATATATCATTTGCAAATATCTTCTCCCATTCAGTAGGTTGCCTTTTGTTTTGTTAATGATTTCCATCACTGTGCAAAACTTTTTATTTTGATGTAGTCCCAATAGTTTATTCTTGCTTTTTTTCTCTTTGCTTAAGGAAACATATCTAGGAAAATGTTTTTATGGCTGATATCAAAGAAATTACTGCCTATGTTTTCATCTAAGAATTTTATGGATTCCAGTCTCACATTTAGGTCTATTTTTTTTTAAAGATTTTTATTTATTTGACAGACAGATCACAAGTAGGCAGAGAGGCAGGCAGAGAGAGAGAGGAGGAGGAGGCAGGCTCCCTGCTGAGTGGAGAGCCTGATGTGAGGCTCGATCCCAGGACCCTGGGATCATGACCTGAGCCGAATGCAGAGGCTTTAACCACTGAGCCACCCAGGCACCCCTCACATTTAGGTCTTTAGCCCATTTTGAGTTTATCTCTGTGTATAGGGTAATAAAATTGTCCAGTTTCATTCTTTTGCATGTAGATGTGCAGTTTTCCAAGCACTATTTTTATTTTTTAAGGGGGGTGCAGGGACAGAAGAAGAGGGAGAGAGAAAATCTCAAACAGACTCCATGTCCAACATGGAGCCCAACTTGGGGCTCGATCCTGCAGCCCTGAGATCATGACCTGAGCTCTGAAATCAAGAGTCAGATGTTTAATTGACAGAGCCACCCAGGCACCCCTAAAAGCACTAATTTTTACCAACCACCCACATTTATGTATATTATGTCATACTTTACATTTTAAAAAAATGTATCCTTTGGCTTATTTTTATAGATATAATTGATTTTATTCCTTTTGTGCTTTACCTCCATACTGGTTTTATAAGTGATTAATCTACTTTTACTAAATGTTTGCATTTACGTGTGAAATTTTTTCTTTTCATAGTTTTCTTACTCCTGATTATGGCGTTTTTTGTTGTTTTTTTTTTTTTTTTCCACTTAAAGGATGCCCGTTAACATTTCTTATTAAGTCTGATTTGCTGAATAGAATATTCTCAGTTGTAGGTTCTTTTTTCTTTCAGCACTTTGAATATGTTATGCCACTTTCTTCTGGCCCATAAAGTTTCTGCTGAAAAATCAGCTGATAGGTTTATAGGGTTTTCCTTGTATATATTGTTTTCTTTTGCTGTTTTTAAAATTCTCTATCACTACGTTTTGTCATTTTAATTACTATGTGTGGACTGCCTTGCATAAATTTTGTTGGGTGCTCTCTCTGCCTCCTGGACTGGGATGCCTCTTTCTTTTCTCAAATTAGAGGACAGTTTTCAGCTATTATTTTTTCAAATAAAATTTCTGCCTCCTCTGTCTCTTCTGAGATCCTTATAATGCTTATGTTACTACACTTGGTGACATCACTGAGTGCCCTTAACCTATTCTCATTTTCTGTTATATTTTTTTCTGTTTGCTTTTCAGCTTGGTTGCTTTCCATTACATCTGTCTTCCAGATCACTAATCTGTTCTTCTGCCTCCTCTAATCTGCTATGGATTTCCTCTAATGTATTTTTCATTGCAGTTATTGAGTTTATCTCTGCCTTGGTTTTATATTCTGTATCTCTCTATGGAACGTTTAACTGAGATCTTCCACTCATTACTCAAGTCCAGTAAGTATCCTTATGACCATGAATTTGAGTTGCCTAACAGGCACATTGCTGATCTCTGTTTCATTTGGCTCTTTTGCCGTGGTTTTATCATGTTTTTTCCTTTGGCACTTATTCCTCTGTCTCCTCATTTTGTCTAACTCTGCTTTCCCCCCTATGTATTATAAAAGTTAGCTACATATCTTGATCTTGAAAGTAAGTAGTGGCCTTTTGAAGAAGAGGTCCAGTAGTACCCAATGATGCAATGCTCCCTGTTCACCAGAGTCAAGCACTTCAATGGCATCTCTTTTGTGGGTTGTTTGAACCCCACTATTGTGAATGAACCATGTTTCCCTATAGTCAAGTCCATTGCAATGGCCCCCTTTGCCTGTGTTATGTGCACCAGACAGTGTTTGGTCCCTGTGCTGTTAAAGGGACAGTCTGGGGCTGCTGAGGGCTTGTAGTTTGGTGATGTCAGCATTCAAACCAGAAGCCTCCTATCAGCCCATCTGCTGGGGTTGTAGTTGCACAGAGCCATGGGGCATTCTCCTTTCTTTGTCCCTGAGAGGCTTTATTGGTCGGTGGAGCTTGCACTGAGATCAGATGCCTGTCCCCAGTCTGCTGGGGCTGCCATCTCACTGATCAGCAGGGCACTCTCACTGTGCTGCCAGCCATAACGTTCAGCTGTTGGGACTGTGGGCACACTGGCATGTGTGGATGTCTTCTTCTCTCTCCAGGGCAGGAGTCACTTTGGAGGGATGCCTTTGGAGTATGGCCAGTTGGATTGGGCATCTCTGCAGGGGAATGCAGGGGCAGGGTACTAGTTAACAAGAGGTGGAGAGCATTCATCCTGCTTCCTGCAAGTGTCTGGCCAACAAGGTTGATGGGAAACAGGGAGGAAGAGAAATGGCACCCATCACCACTTTTGTTCTATAATGGTCTCCTAAAGATCCTTGCCCCTCCAACATACAATCTGAGATTAGTAAATAAATTTTCCTAACTACCCCAGGCAATTTCAGACAGCTGCTTCTATGCTGTGTCTCAGCAGGATTATTTGTTTTGTTGGCTCCTTAAAGGTGAAGACTCAGTTTCTTATTGTTCTTATTCCAGTTCTCCAGCTCTCCCAGAGCAAAGCCTATTGATTTTTGAAGTACCAGAGTTAAGCCTTGCTGATTGTAAAGACTCGTGAATTTAAGTCCCACTAGTTTTCAAAGTTAAATATTGCAGAGATTTCTCTTTCCAGTGTGGGTCCCTCATGCCTGGGGCGCCTGGCATGAGGCCTGATCTTCTGGCTTCCTGTAGTATCTTTCCTGTTTGTGGTTAGTTTTGCTGGGGTTTGGGTTCCTAAACATGTCTCTGCCACTCCTACACATTTCAATGTGGCCCCCTCTCTATGCAAGTCCGTTCTGCTAGTCTTTGGATCACTTTCAAATATAGTTGCACAGATATGGCTATTATCTCAGTGTGTGCATGGTTGAGATGAGCTCAGGACCCTCTTACTCCACCATCTTGCCAGAATTGAATCAACTCTGGAGTTTTAAATACCAAGTTTTTCTAAGGGAAGGTATACATAGCCTCTGCTGATGATTCAGGAATTAATTATAACCCTCTCTGAATGTGGTGCAGGCAATCTAAAACACCGGTGCCCTGCTTATTTAACTCTGAGATAATTGTGGGTTTTATGTTTGAGCAGGAAAAAGTGAAGCAAGAACTCAAATACTTACGAGATCAAGAAAGCCATAAGATTAAAAATCATTTTGAGACTCTAAAGAACTTAGAAAATGAAATCTATGTGCATGACTTAAAAGTAGATGCTTTGCTCCTGGAAAATGAAAAATTGAGAAAAGTAAGTTCAAGAACACTTCACTTTGCATGATGGTTTTGGTTAGTTGCCTAGACCTATAGTATAGTTACATGAGAAAAGGAGAGTATAGCTCTTAAAACTTTTGAAATAAAGACTAAGTACATATAAAATAGTGCACAAATAATAAGTGAAACACTTAGTGAATTCACACAGGTAACCAGCACCCAGATCTAGAAACAAAGTATTAACAGTATCCAGATATCATCTATGTCCTTTCCTGCCACTAACCTCCCCACAAAGTAAAGTAACAGTATACTGGCTTCTAACACCAAAGACTAGTTTTGTCTGTTTCTGAACATCATATGTATGGAATATTACAGTATGTACTCTTGCTCAATACTGTGTTTGCAAAGTACATCTTTATTATATTGAATGCAGTTATAGTTTGTTCAGCCTTGGTTCCATACATGGTATTCAAGTGTATAACCATACTACAATTTATATACTCTTGGAGGGGGGTTACAGAATTTCTAGCTGGGTCTATTACGAATAGAGTTGCCATGAACATTCTAGTACATGTGTTTTCAGGAACATATGTACATAATTCTGTGGGGTATACCCCTCAAGTGGAATCACAGAGCCATAGGGATGGACAGTCCACTCTTGTGCACAGTGCCATCTCCCAGAGAAGTTGCAGATCACTCCCAGCAGGGTATGTGAGAACACCACTGGTTCCACATTCTTGCCAAACTGGTTTGTTTTTTTTTTTTTCCTACTTGACCATTCTGGATAGTTTGTAGTGGTATCCCATTGTGCTTTTAGTTTGCATTTCCCTGATGATCAAACAAAGCATCTATTCATGTGTTGGTGGCTGTTTGTATATATCTTTGTTTAGTACCTGTTCAAGTGTTTTGCCCATTTAAAAATTTAAGTTGTTTGTCGGTTTTGTATTGATTGTATCATTCTTTTTTTTTTTTTTAAGTAAACCACAGTGACCTCAAAGTGAGGATCTGTATCAGTGTATCCCAAGTGTTTTGCATAATGGCTCACATCTTAAAGGGACTCAGGCCCATGTTATGCTCACAGAAACCTTTAATGTGGATAATATATATTATGTCTCTTTTATAGATGAGGAAATCAAGGCTCTACATTTTTAATAACTTTTAATAGCTAGAAAAAAGAAAAAGTCCCTTGGCAATAAGACTCTAAGGGAAAAATCCTTTTACCTGTCTGGGTACTCTTTTTCATCAGGTCAATGGCAACAGTTATACACCAATATCATGTGTTTCTGGTAGAATTAAAATGGCATAAGTGGTACTAATGTACTTTGAAAAAGTAAATGTGCTCCAGAGTCTGGGTACTAGCATCACTAACCTGCACATGTGTAATACGTCTTCTTTCTTCTAGCCCTTGCAGCAATCTTATAAGGCATTTTGTCTACCCACGGAAATATTCCACAAGATTATCTTCCTGTCAAGATGACATAGATAATTTATTAAAATACTTGGAATTTTTATTGCTACTTTAGTAATGGATAAGCAAATGGATGACTGTGTGAAAGGCTGATTATATAAGTTCTGTTTTCTAATTTATTGTCCATCTACTAGGTCCTGAATAATGCTGTTTATCTTATTCACTCCCCACTCTGTTCTGCTGGTTACATCCCTTCTCTCAGCAGACATTTTAAGCACCCACTGAGTCCCTAGCCTTGGGGAAGTCTCAAGTGAATACAGAGATGGATAAGACACCACCCCAAGTCCTTAGGAAGCTCATCATCTAGCTGAGGAAATGAGCAAATAAATGGATAAATTAAAATTCAGTATGTTTACACATTTGAGAGTTATGGGAAACCAGACAAGTCTACAAACTGTAATCCACATTCAAAGAGGAGGCAGGAATGACGTCTTGGATGTGGCCTGCAGAGGTTTTCATGCTGGTTTACTACAAAACTAGCCAACAAGTCACACAGACTGACACAAGATCAAGGCCCCATGAGTAGACCCTATAACATGCTTATAAACAATTCTATGTCTTCTGTGGTACTAGATGCAATTTTTTTAAACATTTTACAGCATTTCAAAAAATGAATTTATTTATTTATTTGACACACAGAGAGAGAGGGAGAGGGAGAGGGAGAGATATCACAAGTGGGCAGAGAGGCAGGTAGAGAGAAAGGGGGAAGCAGGCTCCCCACTGAGCAGAGAGCCCGATGAGGGGCTCGATCCCAGAACCCTGGGATCATGACCTGAGCTGAAGGCAGAGGCTTAACCCACTGAGCCACCCAGGTGTCCCCTAGGTACAATTTCTAAGATTTTTTTTTTATCAGTAATTTCTAGTATTTGACTATTTCCCTCTTGAAACAGAATCAATGCCATTTTTATATCCAAAGCCCATGCTTTCAAAGTTCCCAGAGACTTTAAAGCTTAGTATTCCTGAGCACTGGGTGGTCAGAACAGAAAACGATGACTTTAATACCCAAACCACTACTACCACCATCACCCAACTCAGTGAAACATCCGAATGGAGTGAGCAATTCTGTGGGGTCTCCAGACTTGATAACTCCTCTCTCTGAGGTCTTATGCTGGAAGAGCCAGTCTGGAAGCATGGCTGCCTTGGTACTTTTCCTGCACACACATTTCACAATACAGAACCCTTTTTTGTTTGTGGGCACATTGCATTTAGGCAGAACACCTTTTAATATCTTTTTGTGGCAAATTATATTCAGAATGCCATGTTTACTCAGGTGCTTAAATGTTTATTGAGAAGCCAGATCCTTTCTCTCCTTCACCAGAATATAGGCTTGACAAGGGCTCTTCTCGCCACTGTTACCCTTGTACTGAGAGCAGTCAGTGGCATGAAGAATCAATAGTGTGTGCCAAATGACTGCATGGATAATTTACGGTAACTTAACTGCTTAAAGCAATCATACGTCTTTCATTTCCAGTATATTGCATATATGAAGAACAAGATAGAACAGTACAGAAAAGGAGAAGACGACCTCAAGTCCACGTCAAGTGAACTGTCTTGTCAACTGACAGCTCATCAGAGTAAGCAATATGTCATGGGTGATCCAGACATATAAAAAATAAGTCTTTTGTTTTATTTAAATAAATTTTACTGACTTGCATACAATAAAATGAGCCCATCTGAAGTTCAATGAGTTTTAGTAAATGTACATACCACTGTAACCACTGCCACTTCAAACAAGATGGAGAACATATTATCCCTGCAAAATTTCTGACATCCCTTTGTAGTTGGTTTCCCACTCTACAGTGCCTGGAAACCATCTTCCCTTCCCTCATTCCTTCCCTCTCCCATTTCCTCTCCCCTTCCCTTTCCTTTTCTCTCCCCTTGCTTCCTTTCCCCTCTCCCTCCTTCTTTTTCTTCCTTCCTTCCTCCCTTCCCTTTCCTTTTCTCTCCCCTTCCTTCCTTTCCTCCCTCCCTCTTTCTCTTTCCTTCTTTTTTCTTCTTTTTCTTCCTTTCTTCCTTCCCTTTCCTTCCTTCTTATTCTTTCTTTCCCCTTTTCTTCTCTTTCCCTCTCTCTCTCCTTCCTTCCTCCCTTCCTTCCTTCTTTCATCTTCTTCCCTTTCTTTCCTTCCTTTCCTATTTTATTTTTATTTTGAGGGATAAAAAGTGAAAGAGAGCATGAGAACAGGGGGAGGAGCAGAGGGGAAAGGAGGGGGGGGAAGAACCTCAAGCAGACTCCACGCTGAGAATGGAGCCTGATGTGGGGCTCGATCTCACACCCTGAGATCATGACCTGAGCCAAAACCAAGAGTTGAAGCTTAACCAACTAAGCTACCCAGGTGCCCCGATCTGCTTTTTGTCAATAAGGATCAGATACAAATGGAATGATGAAATACACTTATGTACCTGGATTCTTACACTCAGCAAATTTTTAAAAATAATTTTTAAAAATTATTTTTTATTATGCTGTGTTAGTCACCATACAGTATGTCATTAGTTTTTGATGTCCTCTTCTAGGATTGTTTATGTATAAAACCCAGTGCTCCATGCAATAAGTACCCTCCTTAATACCCATCACCCAGCCAACACATCCCCCTAAGCCCCTCCCCTCTAAAACCCTCAGTTTGTTTCTTGAGTCCACAGTCTCTCATGTTTGTCTCCCCCTCCAATTTCCCCCTTTCATCCTCCTAATGTCCTCCATGCTAGTCCTTATGTTCCACAAGTGAAACCATATGATAATTGACTTTCTCTGCTTGACTTATTTCACTCAGCATAATCTCCTCCAGTTCCATCCATGTTGATACAAAAGTTGGGTATTCATCCTTTCTGATGGCTGGGTAATATTCCACTGTGTATATGGACCACATCTTTATCTATTTGTCTCAGCAAACTTTTTTTTTTTAGATCCATTCATCTATCATTGTCTTGCTCCTTTTTATAGCTCTATAGTTGTATTCCATTATGTAGATATACTATATATTGTTTATTCATTCACCATTTGAAGGACATTTGGATTGTTTCCAGTACTTGGTTACTATTTGCTTACATGTATTTTTGTGAATATTTGTTTTCATTTCTCTTGGGTAAATACTGAGGTGTGGAATTGCTGGAGTGTATGGTTAGTGTATGTTTAACTTTGTAAGAAACTGCCAAAACAGTTTGCCAAAGTAGTTGTGCAAATTCATCATCCCACTAGCAACAGGATACTCCATTCCTCACCAACATTTAAAATTGTCAAAACACTTAACATTTAAGCCATTTTAGTAGGTATATAATGGTATTTCGTTGTGATTTTTATTTGCATTTCTCTGATAACTGATGCTATTATTTTTTCATGTGCTTTTTGACCACTTATATATCATCCTTTGTGAAGTGTCTTGAATCAATTATCTATTGCAGCATAACAAATTATTACAAATCACTTACTTTGCTCCTCAATTGGTCATTTGGTGGTAGAAATCACTCATGTCTGCTCTACATGACATTAGCTGGGGCAACTTGATGGCTGGGCGTAATTCAGCAGCTGGGTCTGGAGTCATCTGCAGATACATCTACTCACTCAGTGTGACTGGTGTTGCTGCTGACTCACAGCCAGAATTTCCATGTAGTGGCTTGGCCTGCTGCATTTCAAAAGATAAGATCCTAGGTACAAGAGGAGGGGACACAGTTGCCACCACTAATGGGAGGGGTGTCAACGTGATGTTGTGGGAAGAGCATATGGGAGGGAATATATTGTGGGGCCATCTCTGGAAAAGTCTGCCACATTTTTGTCCAGATCTTTTCCTCATTACCTTGTGTTGTGTTGTTGAGTTAAAATCTTTGTGTATTCTAGAAATGAGTCCTTTTTTCAGTATGAGGCTTCTCATTTTTTTTTATATTGTTCTGAAAGAGCAGAAGTTCTTCCTGTGGGTAAAGTCTAGTTTATTTATTTCATCTTTTAAGGGTAGTACGTTTTGTGTCCTAAGATATTTTCACCTAAGCCAGGTTCTCAAAGATTTTCTCCTATGTTTTCTTTTGTAAGTTTTTAGTTAAGGCTCTTATGTCTAGATCTCCAAATCAAGTTCAAATTTTTGTACAATGTGAGGTAAGAGTTTTCTCTCATGTTTTCTCTCATGTATATCCAATTGTTCTAGCACCATTTTTGAAAAGCTTATCTTCTTAGCATTGTACTACCCCAATGACTTTTTCAAAAATCAATTTTATAAGTCTGTTTCTTATTCTGACTTTATACCAATACCACACTGTCCTGATTACTTTCATGCTCAGTCTGGACGTCAGGTAGTGTAAGTTCTCCATGTTTCTGGTTCTCTTTTACAATGATTTTGGCTATTATAGGTCCTTTGATTTTCTTGTAAGCTTTCAAAGACAGCTTATTTATCTATAATTGCACACCTGCTGGGATCTTAATTGGGTTTCTGTTGAATCCATAAATCAATTTGAGGAGAACTGACATCTTAACAAAATAAAATCTTCCAATCCAAGAACATAGTATACATCTCCATTTATTTGGAACTTATTTTTCACAGCAAGATTTTGCAGCTTTTAGGTTTTTTTTTTTGTTTGTTTGTTTTTTTTTTTAAATTTGACAGAGATCACAAGTAGACAGAGAGGCAGGCAGAGAAGCTTTTAGGTGTTTTATTAGGGATCCTCAAGACCACCCTTAGACTCAATGATCAGCTAGGATTCACCAGGCTCAAGGTGTTACGCTTCTTCTCCATTACAGTGAAGGATACGGAGTAAAACTAGCAAAGGGCAAAGGCACATGAGGCAAGTGTGGTGGAAACCAGATGCAAAATTGCAAGTTGCCACCCAGTGTAGTTGCACAGATGCATTTAATTTCTCCAGTAATGGTACACGACAGCACCTGCAAAGTGGTGCCACGTAGGGGCCCCTGGACTTGGGCATCCAAGGTACTTATTAGAGGCAGTGCAGTGCCTGTGAGAACTCAGCCACTCAAGGTGTTCATGTGTTTCTTTTATGTATTAGGATGGTAAATTGCACCAACTCATTTTTGAATGTTAAACCAATCTCCTGAGATAAAACCCGCTTGTTCAAAAGCTATTATTGTATTTATATATTGCTGGACCCAATTTGCTAATCTTTGTACAGATTTTTGTGTCTGTGTGCAAACCTGCTTTGTTCTGCTTGCACTTAGGTCTGGAAAGTACCCTCCAGCAGAAAGCCAGGTGATCATTAAGGCTTGCCTCATCTGTCACCTCTCCTTCAAGTGTCCCAGTTCTGTGCTGCCCATTCTCTAGTACCTGAAAACTGGATATTAAAACAGATATACTCAGGGTGCCTCTTTGGCTTAGTCAATAGAGCATGTGACTCTTGATCTCAAGAATGTGAGTTCAAGTCCCATACCGGGCATGAAGCCTACTAAATTTAACATATTTCCTCCTTGTTTACAGTGAGTGGGCAAGTCTAATCCAGTTATTCTATCATTTTGGGAGTGGAAAGTTTTAGATAAGCAATTTTTGAAAAACAAATAGCACTACTTTCATAAAAATTTTCACATTTCTGTAACCCTTGTATTTCAAAAATCTTTTATTTTAGCGGAGTATTTGGATTTGTGGGATGACTTTCATACTACAGTTAAGGTGAGCTTTTTTTTGCCTCCATAAATATAATATTCCTAATAATATTCACCTACCTAATATGTGTGTGTGTGTGTGTGTGTGTATGTGTGTGTGTGTACATGTGTGCCTGCACAAGGTAGGAGGTCAGGATTGGGGGGATTGACAGTGTTAGTACTCATCAGATCTTAACATGTGTGCTCTGTATTAAAAAAACCAAAATTCACCTGAGTAAATTTTAAACATCTTATTGGCTCTGTTCAATGATTCATGAATCAGGCAGTGTCCCAGCTAGCAGATTAAAAGGTGCTCTGAGGAGCTATACAAGAGGCAGAAGGGAGCTGGAACCTGGAAGTTATACTAAGCACAAAAAGCAGGTTGATTATTGCAAGATTACTTTCCTTTAGGGGGTGGCAGGGATTATTAGGCAGATGACCTAACTGGTGCTGATGAGGTGGTTCCTGATAGACTGGTGTAAGATTCCATTTCTGAGAGAGCCAAAACTGTAATTAAATCGATTCTGTTTGGTGATGTGAGGCTTTGCCTAGGTGACTCCATTTGGAGCCGCTGTCTTATTTTTAGCAGTGCCAAATGTCACTAAAATCTTAATCTTTTGGGACACTGTCTTCCTCCTCTACCAATTTGGTTAGAGGGACCTACACCCCACCTCCACCTGCAAACACAAATTGCACACACACTATTTTAGGACAGATTTGTCAGGTCTGAAGTCCATCTGTCCTCCATGTTTTACTGGCCCTGCTCCTCTCACCGCTGCCCCCCACCCGCACCGCCCCCGCCAAGGCTGCTAGGTGTTTAAATCCTGGCTTTGCCACTCTCTTGAGTATTTAAAGTTTACATGTGATTCTGGCTCAGACTTTAACCTTTTCCAGATGAGGCTACTGAGCTTCACAGTTTAAGTAACTTTGCCCAAGACCAAACAGTTAATGAACCTATGGGGATTTAAAGCTCAGATCCAGCCTCGTTCCAAAGCTTTTTCTCTTCAGCTGTAAGCCATGCCGATTATGCCCTGAAGTTCCATGCTGCTCTGAAGGTGAGCGGGCTTCTTATTCAGCCCCCATCCCTGCCAAGGTTAGAGGTAGTGAGCATTCCGTTCAATTGTCTCATTTACTAATCTGTTTTCTTCTGAGATTTTCTACAGAACTTTGTGAATGTGATATGGACATTTATTTTGCATGAGTAATACCAATTTTACATACATATTTTTGTCTTGGATATGATTCACTCAATGTTTTTATTTGGTTGGAATTTATATTCACACATCCCAAAATATTATTTTTTTAAAGGAATTGGTAAACAGTGGTGATGAGATTTTGCAAGAAATAAAAAACCTAACAACAAAGCTGAAGGAAAGAGATGAAAACATTGAACATATCAGCATTTGGCTACAAGGGAATCTTGACGAGTTGCGTGATCTTATGGAACAGGAATTGGAAACAGACCTCCATAGTAAGTAACTTCTCAAAGCTTTGGGTAACAAAGAACCTCTTGTTATTTTACTGTAGCCAGTACTATCAAAAAGGCATTTAAAAAACTAACCAAATAACATCATTATCCCTAATAATTCTTCCCCAATTTATGTCACATTCACCTAAACATTGCTTCTCATTTGTGGGGTCAAATGTGGCAATGAAGCAGTGTTGGACAAATCTCCAAAAGAACTATGAGAGAACCTAACTGGGGAAGAGACTTGACCCTAGTTAAGGAATGGGGAGAGGCCTCTGTACAACCAGAAATGGAGCTGAGAGCACAAGGAAGTTTTCTGGCTTCCTTAACTCCACTTATTTCTGTTCCTGGAGCACTGGCACTGTGTGGGCTTTGAAGGTAGGTGGGCCTAGGCTCAGATATTGGCTCTGCTTATTACGTGTTATTTAATCTCTACTCCCCAGTTTCCCTGGTTGTAAAATATGGATAGTTAACTGCAAGTTACAGAGCATCAGACCCAAATTAGGCACTCATCAGATCTCTTGAAATCTAGTGCCCTCCTGTGGGAGGTGATAGTCAACCACAGCTCCTTGGATTACCTGACCATTTCTGAGCCACCTGTAATCTAGCTTTTGGATTTTCCCTGTTGAATGGCTGCGTTCAAGGATGGAACTTCTAGGGGCGCCTGAGTGGCTCAGTGGGTTAAAGCCTCTGCCTTCGGTCAGGTCATGATCCCAGGGTCCTGGGATGGAGCCCTGCATCAGGCTCTCTGCTCAGCAGGGAGCCTGCTTCCTCCTCTCCCTCTGCCTGTCAAATAAATAAATAAAAATCTTTTAAAGGATGGAACTTCTAGAGAAGGCCTTGATCTCTTCCAGCTCAACAGCCCTTGCTTGTCCTCTTCTGGACACCATCTGTCACTGCAGCTGTGCAGATCCTGGCCCTCTCCTTCTGGAATGCTGCACCAAGCTCCAGAAGCAGATGGAGCACCTTTGAGCCTGCCAAGAGAGCAAATGCTGCAGTCACTAAGCTGAATAAGACCCGGTCCCTGAACCTCAATGTGCATACACTGAGAGAACAAACAAGGAAAGAACATATATAAGGGATTCCTTCTAGTGAGTGGCTATGAGGATAAAGAGAGGAAACTCTAAGCTTTTTTTGGGTGTTGGGAATACACAGGGATGTCTTCCTGAGAGGGCAAGAGACGTGCTCTGGCTGAGGACTGCAACAGCATGGCTGAGTGGGTATCTGCTGGGGGTTCCGACTGGCACATGTGGAGGACAGGCTTATCAGAACTTAAAATGCCAGACTTATCTTGAAAACGAAGATTGTTACTTTTTGCCTTAATATTCCTTCTTGCAAATAAAAGGTAAACAAGCTGACTCTTAGTGTGTATTCCTAAATCAAATAGTAACTGAGTATAGATTATTTTTTAAGAAGTATTAAAAATAATTGTTTTAAAATTCTAGAAGTCCCCAAGTCTTATATAACAAGTTACAGATAAATAATGTGTGTATTAACCAAATATTTTCACTTGATATGTGCGGTACAGAGAACTTTTTTTTAAGGTCAAGGGATATTTTAAAAGAAATACCAAATTTGTATACATTGTCACCTTTTTATTATGGTGATGAGGACCTGAGAGTTGTATTTTAATCATTTAATTCTGGAAAAGAAACATTGAGGCAGATCAAAATTTCAGTAAGAAATAATTTTAAAAGTTTGCTGAAAAATTGTCAAAAGGTCTCTTGGAAAAATTAAGCATCTGAACTAAGAAGAGTTTATACCATACTCTCACGCATTAGAATCACCTGTAAGAGGTTTAAAAAATCCTTCTGCTCAGCCTGTACTCTAGGCCAATTCTGAATCTCTCGGGGTGGGACCCAGGCATGTTTTAGACCTCTCTCCAGTGGGCTCCAATGGATAGCCAAATCTTGCAAACGAATAGTTTTAGACAAATAACCATGTAATTGTTAAATTTATCAATTGACCCAAATCAAAATATTTTGACCTTTAAATTATCTATCCAGCACTGGTTAGCAAAATAATTACCATGCACTATAGCAGTGAGAGTTGTAATGCCCTATAAGGACATAAGTAAAAACTGAACAAAGCTGAGCCAGGACAAAGGTGATTTGTTTATATGTTTAATAACCACGTTTTAACAAATCATTTAGTAACATTAGCAACCACAGTTGCTATGATTTGTTTTGGTCTGGTTCTTAAAGCAAATGAAAAATGCACATACCTATTTAAGTATTCCTGAGAATCTTTGCATTTGAAGAATTATAATTACTTGCATGATCTTCCTCTTGCACACACATTTTTCTGCTAGAATAGGAGATCAGAGAAGATAATTGCTAAAATGGCTCCATTTTAACAATTGTCCCTCCATGTGGAGGGACAGATATATGGCTCCCTACACTTCCCTCCCCTGCCACACCACGTCCCAGATTACATAATTGTCCAGTTGAGGATTCTTTGGGAAATTTAGAATTTTAATGCACACTAATAACCACCCAAACTTGTGTGACGTACACAGAATTTTCGCATTTTTTTTTACTCTTACAGAAAAGAAGAAACAAATCCGTATCAAAAAAGTCCATCCCCCGGTGGTTGAATGTACTATGAAAAACATTAACAAAGAAAAGCTAACAAAATAACTTGAAGGCTACAACTGCTGTGAATTTAAAAGGCACAAACAAAACTATAAAACAAGTGAGTGCACTTTCTTTCATATTTGGCAATGGTCAATGGATGTCCTAAGTTTAACAAACCTGCATAATCCCCATTAAACAGAATCTGTAAATAACCTTCTAAACAATACAAAGGGATAAAATGGTCAGATTATTAGGTTAAGTGCCAAAAAACCTTATTTTGCTCCCACATGGATCTCTTAAAGGGTTCCGAGCATAAAGTCCACAGCACACCTATTAATAACTAACCACAGGAAAACTATATGTTGTATATATTCTGTATTTAGTTTTAGAAGGTATCAATTTTAAGATGCATCCTAATTCAGAGATGTCACAATGTGAAAAAAGTTTCAGGATCAATAAAATATGGCATTGTCTATATATCCTTCAAAAATGAGACCAAAGAGGAAGGGACTATGTGAATACATGTATTTATTCATTTGGACTACTTAAGTCTGAATTATTTCCACAAGTAGTGTGGCAAAATACAATTAAATGTCAACATCTGAGATTTTTTGTAGTTAAGCATTTTATTGTTTTTCTTAACAGAAACAATCATCAGAAGATGTCTTCAACCAAACTACCCATAAAAAGAAAACTTGTTATATAAATTATCCTCTATTTTTATAATCAAAATACTGTATTGGTAAAAATAAATAACAATAAACAACATACTTCATTTTCATATTTGCTATCAGACCCACAAGGTATGTTTGTCCTTATAATTCATTATACTTGAAAAACAAATTGAAATACAACAGACATGCACAATTAGGCCAATGCTTAGGATTTCAGATTATACTTACCAAGATATAGAGAAACATGATTTTGTTCTAAAGAATAACTAAATAGTTGAGGAGGCAAGTGCTTCCTAACATGCTCCGAGTGTCATAGAATGCTAAAGTATATATTTAATGTAACAGGCTACTACAGCATTTTGTATTTTCCAACTCTAACCATAAAGTCTGTTAAGTCAAAAACAGAAAAAAAAGTCCAAAAACCCCTAATCTTTCTTCCAGGTACAACAGAAGAATATTAATGCATTTTATATATTTTTTTTTACTAAGAACACTTTTTAGGTTTTTTGGTATTTTACATTTAGTGTCCGTTGGCTCCTTCGGAGAGTATCCGTGAAGGCTCAGTAAATTTTGCCGTGAACAAGTAAAAAAGAGCTGGTGTAGGTACCAAAGCCAAAAGGGGTAAATCCTGCTCGAGTTTATCCACTCTGGAAATGGATATTATTCCATAGGCGTGAAGTAACCAGTGGCTGAAGAGAACAATAAGTCTTTTCTTTCTCACCAGAAGATCATAGCAGTTCTATATAATTTTGTAAAAGAAAAGACAAATACAAGTTATTGGGCTGAATAAGCTAGATAATTTATTACGTTATAATTTAACATGTATTATTTGTTGGGAAGATGGCAGAATAGGAAGATCCTGAGCTCTCCTCATCCCATGGATACAATGAGATAACACACATCAATGCAACTCACTCTGAAAATGACCCAAAGACTGGCAGCAGAAGATCTCCCCCAGTTAGTTGTAGAGAGGAAGCCACATCGAAAAGGGTAAGAAGGGTGGAGTGATGGTTAGGAACCAAACGCTGAGAGAGACTAACCACAAGAAACCCAAGGATCAGACCCTACACCAGCAGTCCTAGGCACGGGGGTCCAGCACTGCGAGAAGGAGCCCCCCAGTGGGCCTTACTTAAGAGGTTTTTGTTTTTGTTGTTTTGTAATCAGGGGCCCTTAGCTCCAGGAGAGCCAGAAAATAACAGAGAAACTGAGTACTCCCAGCCATTAAAGAGCCATCATAATAGGTAAGTGATGAATCACTAAATTCTACTCCTGAAACCAGTATTACACTAGAGGTTAACTAACTAGAATTTAAAGAAAACAAAAAAGAACCAGCATAACAACCTAACAGAAATACAGCATCGACGCAGAAGTTTGAAAAGCACCAGGGGTGTATGTGAAGGAGATTTACTAAGTTCAGAACGTTCACAGTAGGGGCAGGGATCTTTAGGAAACTTATCCAGGAACAAAAGAGCTAGCACATTCCCCGACCTCGATACCCAGACACTTGCAGGAACCAGCAGAACACTCTTCGCCCAGCTTGCTACCGCCACACCCAGCCCATGCTCTCTTGCAGATTCACTCAGCAGGTGTCCCCCTGCCCCCACACACTCTGCAAGCAACCCCGGAGAGACGGCGCCACTCCAAAGCGGCTCCTGCCCTTATAACCAAAAGTGCAGAGGAAGGACCCTGCTGATCAGTGCCGTGGTAGCTGCGACAGACAGATGGAGACAAGCATCTGGTGTGATTGCTAGGCCCACCGACCTGCGAACACTTCTCAGGGGACAGGGAAGGGAGAGGTTAACCCTGGAGAGTGATTTAACTGCAGCCCCAACACACAGAAGGGGGACAGGCATCTGGTCTGACTGCCAATCCTGCCCAACTACAGGCCCTTGGGGGCCCCAGACTGACACCTTAACAGCACAGGCACCAAACCTGGTATGCCCTGAGCAGATGAAGGAGGAAGCCACTGCAGCTGACTGGACTGACACAGCCCCAACAGCAAGGCCCATGTACCCCACAGAGGAGGTACCCTTGCAGTGCCTGGTTCTGGTGAATCGCAGCACTGTGCCACAGGACCCCTTCTTCATAAGGCCACTACTTTCAAGATCAGGAGATGTAGCTGACTTTTCTAATACAAAGGAAAAAAACAGAGTTAGACAAATGAGGAGACCAAGGAATAAGCCCTGAAGGAAAGATAAGCAACATGCCTGATAAAGTAATGGTCATAATTGAGCAGAGGATCTCAGTGAGACCTTCAATAAAGAGATACAAAATATAAAACACAACCAGCTGGAAATGAAGAACTAATAACTGAAATGAAAATTACACTAGAGGGAATCAATAGAGAAGGGAGAAGAACAGCTCAGTGATCTGGAAGACTGGTGTAATGGAAAGCTCCAACCTGAACAGCAAACAAAAAAATGTACTAAAAAAGGAGAACAGGCTAAGTGACACCATCAAGCAGAACAATAGTCACATAATAGGGATCCCAGAAGGAAAAGAAAGAAAAGGTGCAGAAAATTTATTTGAAGAAATAAAAGCTGAAACTTCCCTAATCTGGGGAAGAAAACAGACATCCAGATGCAGGGAGCACAGACAGCACCTAACAAAACCCAAGACACAATAATTAAAATGGCAAAAGTAGCGATAGAGATTGTATAAGCAGCAAAAGAAAGCAATTACACATAAAGGAAACTCCTTAAGACCGTATCAGGTGATTTTTCAGCAAAAACTCTGCAGGCCTGAAGGGAATGGCACAATATTTTCAAAATGGTTAAAGAAAAAAAACTGTAACCAAGAATACTCTATTCAGCAAGACTGTTAATGCAGCACTGAAGGAGACAGGAGTTTTCCTAACCACTAAACCAGCCTTACAAGAGATGTTAAAGGGAATTCTTTGAGTGAAAAAAAAAAAACAAACCCATAATAAGGAGTAAGAAAGCTATAAAAGGAAAAAATGTCACTGGTAAATGCAAACATGTAAAAAAGATTAACCACATATAAAACCACTATGGAGAGTAAAATGTAAAAACAGTAAAATCAATTATATCTATAAAAATCAGTCAAGGGACTGACAAAACGATGCAGAGTATGATGACATATACGTAAAACATGGCAGGGGTGGAGGGTAAAAATTTAGTGCTTTTAGAATGAGTTCAAACAAAAGTGACCCACAACTTAATATAGACTGCTATACATATAAGAAGTTATAAATGAATGTAATGGTAACCACAAATCAAAAACCTATAAAATGTACACAAAAAGAAAGGAATCCAAGCATAACACTGAAGGCATCAAACCACAGGAAAGAGAAAAAAGAGCAGAGAACTAAAAAACATAAAACAAGTAACCATGGCAATAAGTACATACCTATCAATAATTACTTTGAGTATAAATGGACTAAATGCTACAATCAAAAGACATAGGGTACGGAATGGATAAAAAAACAAAAGCAAAATCCATCTAAGTGCTGCCTTTAACAGACTTTCTTCAGACTTAAACACACACGCAAGTTTGAAAGTGAAGGGACAGAAAAACACATCACGCAAACAGAAGTTAGAAGATAGTTGGATTAGCAATACTTATATGGGACAAAATAGACTTTAAAACAAGGAGTGTACCAAGAGATAACTACGTAATTATAAAGGGAACAATTCAACAAGAGGACAGAACAATTATAAATATCTATGCACCCAAAAAGGGAGCACCTAATATATAAAGCAACTATTAACAGATAGGAAGAAACTAACAGTAATACAATAATTGTTGGGGACTTCAATATTCCACTTTCATCAATGGATACATTATTCAGACAAATCAAAAAGGAAACAATGGTTATGAATGACATCAGACCAGATGGACCTAAATGATATATTCAAACATTCCATCCAAAAACAGTGGATTACACATTCTTTTCAAGTGTGCATGGGATCTTTTCCAGAATGGATCACGTGTTAGGCCACAAAACAAGTCTCAACAAACTTAAAAAGATCAAAATCATATCATGCATCTTTTCCAACCACAAAGGGATGAAACTAGAAATCACAAGAAAAAGTCTAGAAAGAACACAAATACATGGAGACTAAATAACATGTTACTAAATGATTAATGGGTCAACCAAGACACCAAAGAGGAAATAAAAAAATACATGAGACAAATGAAAACTACAATGGTTCAGTATCTTTCAGATGCAGAAAAAGCTGTTCTAAAAGGAAAGATTATAGCAACAGAGGCCTACCTCAAGAAATAAACATCTCAAAGTAACCTTACCGCTAAAGGACCTAGAGAAAGAACAAAGCCCAAAATGAGTAGAAGGAAGAAAATAATAAAGATTAGAGCAGACGTAAATGAAATAAGGCAAAAGAAAGGAAGGAAGGAAGGAAGAAAAAGAAAAGGAAAGAAAGAGAAAATTGAACAGATCAGTGAAACATGAGCTGGCTCTTTGATGATCAACAAAATTGATAAACCTTTAGCCAGACTCAGCAAGAAAAAAAGGTCTCAAATAAAACCAGAAAAGGAGAAGAAATGACTGACACCACAGAAATACAAAGGATGTTAAGGGAATATTATGAAAAATTACATGCCAATAAATTGGACAACTTTAAAGAAATGGATACATTCCTAGAAGCATATAACCTCTCAAAAGTCAATCAGGGAGAAATAGAAAACTTGAACAGACCAATTATCATTAATGGAATGGAATCAGTAATCAAAACACTCCCAACAAAATAAAGTCCAAGACCAGATGGCATCACAGGTGAATTCTAT